CGACTCAAGTAAGTCATCGATCTCGTCACCACTTTTTGGTGTTGGTAGTGAGACTTTTAGTTACAAAGGTATCACACCCTCAAGATGATATCCGAGAGGTGAGCATATCTTAAATCAAGAAAATTTTTCAATTTCTCATATATCCAAATGCAGAATCCATAACATAAAATTTGAGGATACCATATGCATTCAATTCTTCTTTACACACTATAAAACCATATAGTTTTTATTTATATAGCACATCACTTTGATAACTCCATAAAACCTAATGTAAAATCAAAATAATTAACAACCACTTACATACTCACAAGATCTAATGAAAATATTATAATTATAAAAATTAATCATTGACCATAAGTTCACATTAATATAAAGACTTCACATGTAACATTCCAAACTTCCATGAGAGGTCCACCTTTACAACAATGCACACCAACTCATAGACAACATTACAAGCAAAGTGTTCCTTACAATAAAACCTTGTTAAACTACTAAAAATATGTCACAATCTTCCAACATTTCACTTCCTAGCCAACTAATATGAGTGCGAGTGACAACTAACATGAAAATTTTATATAGCAATATAAGCTACAAAAGTAAGTGACTATTATATCCATGGCATAAAGCAAATCATATGACATAAGCATTAGGGTGTAAATTATGGATTCAAGAGTTATACTCAGTATTTCATATGATTCATACTTAACAAGAAGTAAAACACTCAAGAGGCATATTAAGATCAAAAGGCATGAGCTCAAGAGGCATATATGACATTTCATTTAATTCATTAATATCAAAGAAACATATAGCAACATAAGAGCAAATCAAGATCGCTAGGCATAAGCTAAAAAATAGAATCATATTTGATATGTCATTTGATTCATTAATAGCAGTGGAGCAAAGAGCAACATATGGGTATATCAAGAATAAATGCTATCCATTAGCTCAAGAGTAAATTTAAATTTGATTCCTTTTATTCAATCGTAACAATGGAGTAAAGTGTACAAAAATATGAGCTTCAGTATCATATTTAATATTTTATTTATTTTGTTTATATCCAAGGAGTAACATATAAGTATTTACTTTGAAAAATATGTGAAGAGACAGAGAGTGAAGTGGGATTATAATATAAATTTACTCTCCCATATCTGAAAGTTCTATCTATTCATGTCTAGATACAGACTTTGTGGCTAATAAGAGCATCATAAACTCCATGACTCTTTTATTATTTTTGGTAAATGTTCATATTATTTCATAAACATCAGAGTATAATAAGAATATTCTTATCAAGAGTAAGATGTTTCAAAAGCACATGTGAGGCAACAATAACATACATATGTATGGATGAAACAATATTAAGCTTACATTAACATATCAATTATAACAAGAATCAATGACTAAAATATAAAAAGGGTTTTAAAGCAATAACAGACGACTCATTTAAAGGAGAATTTTGACTGATAACAGATTCCAATTATATGAAAGGAACATAGATGATATAGTGGGATAATAATATAACATAATTCTATGGACAAAATATAAGTCTAGAACTCAGCATAGCATATTCCCTTTTCATTTCTGCAAAAGGAGTCAAAGTATCTAGAGTACATATAAGGATATTTTGATAAGGACAGAGAAATGTATCAAAAGTATATCTGAAACAAGAAAATCATACATGTGCATGTATATAGCAATACCAAAGTTAGCTTGAACATATGCACAACTCATTCATTTATGGCAAGAATTAATGATTAAGAGATAAAAGAGTTTAAATCATTAACATGAGTCTCATTTCAGTGAGAATTTTAGTTGAAATAAAGTTCTTAATGGTAGAAATAAGAATTGATAAATTTGATAATCAATTTGTTGTGGTAGAATTTATAAAGTAGGTTTCATTAGATATTCAAATATTCAATTATGCTCTAAATTATTCAAGTAAAATACTATTAAAAAGATATATAAGTCCAAATTGGAGTTGTGTGTAAAAAGGTACAAACAACTAAATATGGATAGGTCAGAATTATCTTGCCTCTGTTAAGCACAATTCAAGAGATCAATTCCAATGGACAATTGGGTTGGCATTTGTACATCAATTCATTCAAATAAAGTACCAAAAGAAAGATACAAGAATATAATTGTTAATAAAAGATATTTGCTTAATTTAGTATTTTGTACAGAACAACATAATTAAAACAAGGCAAAGAGGTCAAGTCATTTTATCTTTGACATAATTCAAGGGATCATTTAAATAAGGGGTCCATTATAACAGACATTTGAAAAGGCATTTGTACTTCAAATTATTCAAATAGAGTCTACTTTCTAACAAAAGTAATTTTACTCAAATTTTACATAGAATGTTATAGTCAAAACAATACAGATAGGTTAGGATTTATCATAAATTTTAGAATAGCAAGCTTACAACTCAAAGGAGGTTAATGTTATACGAAAAAGGTAAAATTTATAAATCATTTATAAATAAGAAGGAATAAGTGATAAGATTACTATAGGATGAGATAGAATACTTGTCGTGAAAGCTAATCTTCAAAAATCTTGAATTAGCCCAAAATCTTCAAGCCAAACCAAACACACTTCACTTCTTTTTCTCCTTCAATTTTCTAATGCAAGGTAGAGATACCAAATTCTAACTTGGTAATATTTTTTTTCTCTTTCTCTCTAATTACAAGTGCTTAGATAGAATAAGAAGTTGTTATATGATGACCATGCATCATAGAAGCATAAATGTCAATAATAATACAACAAGCATAGGTTGCACGTACCTTTACTTTGCTAGTGGCACGTGTTTTCTATTTTCTCACTTTTCTTTTCATATTTTTTCTTTTCCACTAGTTTAACATGAAAATTTTCGTAAATAATATACAAATTCTAGGATTCACAATTTGGTCCTTAGTATTAGTCCTTCAATATAAAAATTAATATATAAATTCTCATATTAAAATAATCATAAATTTATCATATAATAAATAATTTAAAAATGAATGATATTATAGAGGAAGTTGATCGAGGCTACCCCCTTACAAAGGCAAATACATCGTGTGGTGTGGCTTTGCCATTTATGGTGGAGTCGGCCTTTGACTTGAAGATGCTTTGAAGGTGTATCATATACTAGTCGAGTTCAAGCTAGTATTTGCTCGGCCAAGTGATCGATCCTATGTGTCCTGTCACATATTTTAGACAAGTATAGATGTACTGGAGGTGGGTTTTCATTTCACCCTTCGCCTATTTTTTATTAAGGCTTTCAATTATTAAAAGTTTTCGTCCTTCCAATTAACACCAAATTAATGACACTTTCTTGTAACATTCATCCGAGAATGCACAAAGACTTGCTATAGTTTGCTATATTAGCTTGCAAACTATAGCAAGTTTGTTGTATTAAGGATTTTCTCAATGTTGGCCCTCATATTAGCTTGCTATAATTTGTTGTATTTCCTCCCCTCTTATTAGCTTTCGAGTAGAGTTTGGCCGATCAACTTAGCTTGGTCTAATCAAAAGTTTTCCATTATCGCTTCAAGATTGCATGGGTTGAAAAAAGAGCAAATTATCTCTAACATTCTATGAGTCTATTGCCATCCTTTAGATGAGTAAGCAGTGGCTCATTGATATAGGCCTAAGCCTCGCTCCTCGAGGAAAGAAGTTAGAGTTTTCAAAGTTCATTTTAATTAGCTAATCTTTCGATCTTTCTTTTGCAAATATAGATCTTTATGTGTGTAAACTCGAGTGATGTGGGCAGACAAAGAGTGGTTTCTCGAACCCTAATTGGGGGGTCAGCTGACTAAGTAACTGATTCATTTAGGAATTCCAATTTTAGAGAAAGGATTGGGTTTTAGACGAACGATAGGGAGGTGCTTCCGGCACTACTTAGTCTCGAGGTAGGGAAGACTCCGCTACTACGCTAGGAACAAGAATTAGTGGTGGACTATAAGTCAAGATTGGTAGAGCAAATGTAGGTGGGGTCTGATGAGCAAGTTCGGAAAGATAAGAGCAATGATTTAGACTCTTCCAATCAAAACCTACATTTGTTGGATTATGGTATGGAAAATTTTTACTGGAATAGTTATGGTGGTGGGAGTTGTGGGAGATGAATGGGTAAAGGTTGAGTCTTGAAAAAATAATAAAAAAAGATGAGGATTTGACATGAAAAAAAGATTTGAAACAATCGACATCCTTAATAGTCGAGATCATCGAAAATGAGGGTTCGGTAAAGAAGCATTTAAGGCTATCAGAATCGATTCGTTGACATCAGGGGGATTTAGATCATTAGGGGTTATTCGCGACGGACAGCTTTCCTTAAGACATACTAGTCACCCCTCCTCATGCTAATGTGTTATAGTAGATTTTGGTTGTCCAAGTTAAAAGTTAACTCAAATCCAACCTAGTTAACTCAAATCCAACCTAGTCCTTCTTCGAACCTATCTCAAAGCGGAACTTGCTGAGTCGAACATCCGTCCGAGGTTTTCAAAAACGATGCTTAAATTAAAAACCTACTCAAATGGACAAACCTATATGACCTCTTTCATAGGGGACGTATGGGGGAAATACTCTATTGACGAACAAAGAAGTAAAAACCAATACTCTATTGACTAACAAAGATGAAAAAACAAATCATAACCGCCGCCTTGTGATCCCAAATCATTACACCCATTTATTAGAAACGAACATCGATTAATAATGAACTGTTATGGCTGTTTGCTGTACTGTATACGTGACATTAGCTCAACCACATGTCGGCCGGTAGCTTGAACGCATGGAAAGGAGCCGACCAGTAGCTTGAACACGTACATGGAAAGGAACCTTGCTGACCACAAAGCGACATATGATAACATCGAGTACTGATGGGTCAGCCATGTCACATTTGTCATAACAGCTATGCATCTGCCTTATCATCAATCTCCAAATAAATAAATAAAAGAAAACCAACCTTCTCAACAAACGTTTTCTGAAGACGCAGTCTAAGCAAGCTACCAAAAGAACAAAGGAAGACATCAAAATAGCAGCTATCAATATAAACGATATCTTCTCATCATTTGAAAACCAGTTATTTTTCCGCTATGAGGGCTCAACTCATGAAATCAGTGTCGTTTGTTTCTGCACTGTCGCAAGACACATTGTCTCGCCCATTGGAAGGCACACTACATATATACCAAAATGCGATTTCCCCGAATGCATGTCAACGGTGTCTCTCACATATGGGGATTGAACCTATGCTTTAAGGGGCCTAGAAAAAAGATATACAAAGCTTTCTGTAAAGAAAGAATGCAGGCTTTGTCTTGGTACAGTAAGTCGTGATGCAGGGAAAGTCTAGTTCATGTAAAATGGACGGAGAAAGAGGCCACCACAACATCTCATGGCAACCGAAACGAATCCTGAGACCTCAGAGGAATGCCTTCCAAAGAATAGCCATCCTCGTCAGTGTGTTTTGGTAGGCGCCCAGACATAGATGACGATAGACCTGTCATGGATAGAGTCAATAATAATTAGCAAATTTCACAGATTGCAAAGAGTATGCACAAATCTAATAATGCTTTTTAGATCATATATGGAACATACCATCAGCCATGTCCTTGGTCCTGTGGAGCAGAAATGTCCCAGAAAGAATTGTGACAAAGCCACACATCTCTGTGACAATCTGGGTGGGATTTTGACGATCCCAGTCCTGTAGAGAACATGGATAAGATAGCCCAGAAAACATTAAATACGTGTTACACACCTAAAGAATGCTAACAATTAAACCGATAAGAAGTCCTGAATGAAACTATAAATAATTTCACAAACAGAATCATGGCAAGTTTCCTTATTCTCTTTGTTGGATATATATATACACACACACACACCCACATGCACATACACATAATACATATATATACATATACATATATCCATTTAGTTCCGCTTTAGCTTTCACAAACCAATGTGCATTTGATTAATTTCCTTCTACTGTACAGAAAGTAATTGTCACCGAAACCAAATTTTTTATGACAGACCATAGGAACTACAGGTGAGATTTTACAATACTTGCACTGATATCAGTCTTAGGCCTTCCGTCAGTTTAAATTAATTACAATTTTCATAAAGCAGGACATAAATGCCGACAGTGGTAATCTAGTCATGCACAAGGGACAACAAGTTGATGACCTTTTTAATTCTACCAATTCTGTTGTTCCCTTCAGCTTAGGACTTGAGTTGGAGACTTGATTGACAAGTATCGACCAACTTGTCTTATATAACCTAAGACTAATAACTATGATGGTCAACTTTGAACCTTCCTCTTTATCAAGGAACTGGTCTTAAGCTCAATATAGTTTAAATCTTCACCATTTTGACTCTTGTCCTCTCAACACAACAGATCAAATTCTGTAGAAGATCTAATATAACTACCATAAATTTAATAAATCATGGTGAGATACAACATCAAAGAACAATAAAATATCACTCACTTATTAAAACTAAAATAAATACCTATAATATCAATTGAAACTAACTGCACAAAGCTAAAGTGTTTTAAGTACAATTCAGTGAAATGTCATTGATCCACAATGAACACAAGGAATAATGGAAGAGATAATAACAAAGAAGATAAGGAGATCTGACATTTACAAGTAATCTCCAAGATATATAATATGAACACCAAAAGTCAGGTCAAGTTACCAGTAAGGATTCACATTCAATCCAGAGACAAAAAGCATCTCATTTTTACAATTGTCAAAGTAGTAAACCCAATGTCTTGTGTTTTTTTTATATTTCAAGCCTTTACAATAACCTATTTCAGTTTTAATTCTCTCTTTTTAAAACATTTTAACATGATCAACTCATATGAAAAGCATGAAAAAAAGAGAAAATATATGGATGAAAATATGTTTGTGTGAATAAAACATAAGATGAATTGTGGAACAGAAGCCAAATCATACATCTTCGAGGATTTCGAAACCAAATTTAGAAGTGACAAAAGTACAAGAAAGTATAACGTTTCTAATTTTAATTTATTCCCAAGTTGTCTAGAACTTCATCATGTAGTTTTTTTCTAAAGCAATTCATACAGAATAAGGATAATTGCTCACTCAAGGATTGTTCATTTTTCAACACTACCAGTTACACAATAACATCAATGTCTAGCAATATGATCATTGAACCAAGATATAGAACAACAAAGAAACCAATATGACACAGAGAAATAGTTACCTTGAACATAATCACACTAGCCAAAATCGTCAATGATGTAAACATCACATAGTATATCGGTGATACTACTGCTGTATTGAATGTATCAAGAGCCTGAGGACAAAGTTTAGCAAGGATCAGAATATTAGTAACTTTAAGAAGTTCAACATGTGGGATGAAAATCGTTATTACTTTAAAATCATATTCCATCATAAATCAAACAGCTATTATCTGCACATTTCTATCCATTATGCATGGTGATTAAGGTAAACTTAATAAACTGAGTTAAAATATGATATGTGGATAACCATAACTACATGCCAGCTGGCTGAGAGACATATAAAAGCATGGAAATTTGATAAAAGACTAAGACAATCATGTGCAAAATTATATTTAATATATTATTTGTCAGCTTCCAATATGATGCATTGAGAAGAATATGTAGCTGGTAATAAATTGTGTACTAATAACATTGACCACCAAGAAAAGGTACCATTGAAATATATAAAAGACCATGTGATACAAGGAAAATAATTAAAAAATTACAAATAGATGTTGACATACATTTGGAGGACCACAATAGTCCAGTTTCACATTCCTAAAGCCTAGAAATATAACTTGTAAAACCTTTATGCTTAAATCCAATTACAATACTCCAGTTTGACATTCCTAAAAGCCTAGAAAATATAACTTGTAAAACCTCCATGCTTGAATCCAATTACTTTCTTAAAACTTCCGTCAAGGACCTAGCTGTATTAAAAAGATCTCTTAAAGCAGATTGACATAAATCTTGATGATAAAGACAGTCTTAAGCCTCATGAATAACAGTTTATGAAGTCGATCAACCCACACTCACTATTTATTTTATTATTATTATTATTATTATTATATATATATATATATGAAATGTTCCATCATTAATGATCAGATAAATGAAAAAAAATTAATTAGCTGACAAAGTGAAGATGATGGTTGTTTCATGTCCGGGACCACCAGTTCATCCCAATGGCACATGTAGAGGCCAATGGGAGCAGACATCCAGTCCCACATCTAATAAAAAGCTGTTACAGCCTCAAGGACTATATACAGATGAGTTTTCCAACATTAACCAAATAGAAAACTCCAAACCTAAACAAAACCCTTGTGTCACAAAAAATGAGAACAGGTAGTGAGTAGATCAAAGCTATCCCATTATATGTCTTGTTTCAGCATCTTTTGACTTGTCTCATGATGGACAACTTCAGAACATGTGTTCAACTTCAGTATCTAAATCAGTAAGATCACATCTCCTTATTGGCAAAGGAAAATGTGGATTGTTTCATTTGAGTTATACTCAAGTCAAGATGCATACTTTAACTTGGTAAAAAGCATACTAAAATTTCAGTTTCTCACATGGCTAAGATGTTTAAATCTGTATATAAAGTACCAAGAAGAAGAATCATCATTTCCACACAGATCAACTTCAGTCTAGAAATTCAAGGCCAGCAATAAACTTGGACTCTCTCATATTTTCCTATTTTCTAATCGTGAAAATAACTAAATATAGAAAAACTTCTGTGCATATAAGGTGAAAATATTTTTTAAATAAATTAAATCAATAAAGAATACAGCCATACTCAGAAACTTCTTCCGTACTTTGTTCAAATAGTTCATCTGGGTAAGGATACAAACAATGACTATGATTGTGAACACCCAAGTTTGGGAATAAGCCAACTGGTTCATTCCTGAAAATGTCAACTTGAGAGCTATTCCAAGAGCTTTCACACTCATAACCTGCTCAATTAATAACAAGGACAATATCAACTCTTACTTTCATAGTCCTGAATAAAAATAATATATCAAAAAGATAAGCTTCATACCGAGAGAGACCCCACAAGAGAGCAAACACCAATGTAAACCATAATATGTGTTTGCCCATACTTGGGAACGAAATGAAATATGAGTATAAAAGCTGCAAGAAGCACTGTTGCTGCATAGAATAGAAAAGCTGCAACAAGAAACATGAAAGATATCTAAAGTCTTTTCTACAAACATTATAGTAAACAAAATCATGTGCTGAACACATATAATTATGAAACTGCCAATTACTAAATTTATCAAAATATATGTCACTTTCTTTAATTACTGGGAAAGAAGCAAGAAGATGAAGTCAGTACCTGGTTCAGTTGCCAAATCCCAGACTTCCGTCACAGACTCAATCTCACGCTCCTGAGGGGCATGTAGAACAATTGTTGTTGATCCCACAACACAAAGAGCACAACCAAGGATGCCAAAGATATGCAGCCTCTCCCGTAGAATGATATGTGCAAGAACAGCACTGTAGCACAAATATATGTTTATAACAAGTGGAGAAAAAAAACAATGGAAAACATTGTGTTGATTGAGGCTATGCCTGATTATTATGCTAAGAGCACCAAGAGGAGTGACCAGAATAGCTGGAGCAAATGCATATGCAGCAAAATTAGCAACTTCTCCAACAATCACTGTCGATAAGAGAAAAAATTTTTAGTTCTCATTCCTCCCCCTATGAAAGAAACAGTAAAGAATAGTGACCAAGAGAACTCAGGATGCAATAAAAAAATTGTAAGATCGTAAGACCAGATCGTACGATCCTACAATTTATTTAAAAAATAATTTTAAGATACATAATTATACTTAAAAGAATTCACAGATATTTTTTGTTAAGATTTAGTAATTCTCATATATTCTTATGTTAATAATTGCATTTTTCAATTTTCTTGTTTTGTGTCTTTTCTTTACAGGTTGGCAACAGTTTGATTGATCTCTCCACTCAAGCATTTCTACTCAAGAATGATGGGATTTTCAAGGACAATCATGTTAGAAACTTTCAAAAACAAAGTACCTTCCGATCTAATCATGTGAAACGAAAATGACAAGAAATTATAGGAACTGTAATACAAATGAGCATACACCCTAGTATCCACATCTGACTATCAAGTATAAACAAAGGAAAGAAGGCATTAACAACAAAAGGAAATGATAAGCGTAACAAAAAGATCAACGCTTGCTATCAATCAAGGAACATCGACAACAAAAAATAACAACGATTTGACAATCGTGAGCAATTAAAAGCAAAAAACATATATTAACAAATAACAAAATCATGAATCAAAAGATGGTTTTACAAGGGTGCCATGGAAAGAGGAAGAGAGGAACAGAGACGAAGCTCGAGCACAGAGACAGAGAGTTCATACCACCTCTTCATGGTGCTTTGACGACCGCAGCGTGCAACAAGAAAGAGGGAGCGTGGAGGCAGCGGGATGTGATCGAGGGAAGAGTGGGAGGAGAGCAAGCAAAGCCCTAATACAAATCCCAATGAAGAGGGAGGGCGAAGGCAGCAGCATATAACTGAGGGAAGAATGGGAGTAAAGCAAGATCCCAGGCGAGTCCCACAGCGTGTAATAAGAGAGGAAGAGAAGAGATCACATAAGAGGGGAGGAGAGGGGAAGAGAGGAGACAGTGGAGGTAGGACATGGAAGGAGAAGAGACAAAAGAGAGTGGAGAAGAGGAAACAGGAGAGATAAGTACCTGCAACGCATGCTGTGACTCTCCCAATAGAATATGCACAATATTAAAAAATAGAGAAAAGATAGCTTCTGAAATGAGTGAGTGGGTCATAAGACACTTCAAACCTACATCATACTTATTAGAAGGCACAGGATTTTGCTAAATTAGGATATTCACGTTTAAAATTGTAAATGCAAAAATTTTAAATTTCAAGAAAAGTTCTTGTGCATCTAAAATGTTCCAAATCCGATT